ATAGATGGATGGATGAATAGACGGACGAATGGACGGCTGGATGAATGGACGGATAGACGGATGGATGGATAGACGGAGGGATGGACATAAGGATGATAGAGGGACAGATGAATAGATGGATGGATGAATAGATGGACGAATGGACGGCTGGATGAATGGACGGATAGACAGATGGATGGAAAGATGGATGGATGGATGGATAGACAGACGAATGGATGGATGGAAAGATGGATGGATGTATGAATGGAAAGATGGATGGATGGATGGATAGAAGGAAGGATGGATAGACGGAGGGATGGATGGATAGAGGGACAGATGGACGGATAGATGGACAGATGAATAGACGGATGGATGGACGGATGGATAGACGGACGAATGGATGGATGGAAAGATGGATGGATGGATGGACAGATGAATAGACGGATGGATGGACGGATGGATAGACGGACGAATGGATGGATGGAAAGATGGATGGATGGATGGACAGATGAATAGACGGATGGATGGATGGATGGATAGACGGACGAATGGATGGATGGACGGATGGATGGATGGATGGATGATTGATAGACTAGATAAAAAGACACATAGACGGATTGATGCTTGATAGACAATCAGATAGATGGATGGACGGGCCAAAAACCTGCAGAACTAATAAGAAACTAACCAGAAAGTGAGCTGAGATGGTGACCATGGTGAACATTGCACATCTACACAGTATAAACTGAGGTTGTCTGTTCCAACACGCCTGCTGGGTGCTCGTCTGGGTTTAGTGTGATTGTGTGTCTTTCATTGAGAGTTTATTACTGCCGCCCCCCCCCCCCCCCCCCCCATATTATCCTCTATAGACTGCAATCTCCTCTCATGATTGAAAATAGAACAAATATGCTGTGTGTGTGGTAATACAGCACTGATGGAATAATTCTCTCCAGCTCTCTCACCATTTATTATCTCAATAAAAACACATTAGCTGGAGTCTCACTCTGTTTATGTCTCTCACCCAGACTCTGTCTTTCCATCCATCCATCCAGCTATCAATCTCTCTATCTATCCATCCAACTCTCCAACCATCTACCTGTCCTTTTCTTCTCTTTCACTCTTTCTTTCATTCTTCTCTCTAACTACAAATCTGCCCTTCCATCATCTTTCCTTCCCTCCTCCATATCACATTCATTCTTCTCTTCACTTATTTTCACAAGTATCCCCCTCTTATTATACACAACTCCACTGTAACACTCTCCTCAGCACTCATCCATCTCTCCCTCCCTCCCTTTTATCAAATCAGTCTCATTATAATGAACGGATCTATACATCCCCACACCTCCTTGGCTAGCTAGCTGGTAGCGTTGAAGCTCATTATGTGATTTCATGTGAAAGGCAGTGACGTAGGAGTCTCCTCTGTCTGTTACCCATCATCCATCAGTCCTCTCTGTGAGTGTTCAGTGATGGAGAGATCAGGTGTAAGTGAAACAGACAACACTGATTGCTGCAAGACAGTGATTCACCCAGTGACAGAGCTCACCGTCCACAAAGCTCAGGGAGGACAGATGGTTTGAGCTGAAAAGTTTGTTCACTATTTCTTTCAGAATATTGCAAATTCGTCTTTGGGCTTCACTGCGGAGTCACGTGACATTGGGCAGAATATTGGGTGTAAAGGGAGGTGTTGGACAACTGTAAACGGTTTGAATGAGATGAAAGTGAGAGATAAGGTGAAGCCAGCGTACAAACCTCTGTAAACTAAGAGAGGTGGGGAGCTGAACGTTGCTGCTAATGCTTTGGTTTAAGTGTGAAGTGAAATGGAATCTGTCCTTTCAGTTCTCAGAGAGGAACGTTCTGAAATGTTGTGGACCGAAGCTCTTAATGTGTCTCATGTTTATTTGGGGTTCAAAGCATGGATCGCATTCTCTGAAGAGATGAGTTTTCAGGAGCTTTGTGAAGTCAGAGAGGGACGCCCCTGCTCTGATGGCGTGTGGTAGCTCGTTCCACCATCGTGGTGTCACAGATGGGAACAGGGACTGAGGTCGCTTTGTGTGAAGGGATGGCAGAGCCAGGCGTTCGTTGGAGGAGCGCAGTGGACCAGAAGGAACGTAGGCTTGGATTATGGAGTTTAGGTAGATTGTGCAGACCCAGTAGTAGCTCTGGATTCAGCATTAGGGACTTGGATTAGATTCTGGAGGCCACGGGGAGCCAGTAGAGGTCACTGAGTAATGAAAGGCTGCTGAGTTCTGACCATTTGTAGGGGTTTCAACGCATCTGGAAGAGCTGCTAGGAGGGCAGAGAGATAACCATGGCCTGTACCAGAAGCTGGGTGACATACTGAGTGAGGTAGGGCCTGATTTTTCTGATGTTGTATAGAGCAAAGCGGCATGACCGAGAGGCAGCAGCAACATGGTCTGAAAAGGACAGCTGGTCATCAATCATGACACCCAAGTTTCTCACCACCCTGGTTGGAGTGATGGTAGAGGAGTCAGTTTGTAGTGTGATGTTATGGTGGATAGATTGCTTGGCTGGAATGACCAAGAGTTCAGTGTTAGAGAGGTTTAGTTGAAGGTGGCGAGCCTTCATCTATGCAGATATGTCCAAGAGACAGTCCGTGATCCGCGTGGAGACAGTGGGATCGCCTGGTGGGAAGGATAGTTAGAGTTGCGTATCGTCTGCGTAGCAGCGGTAAGAGAAGCCGTGCGAGTGAATGATCAGCCCCAGTGAGGTGGTGTAAATTGAGAAGAGAAGGGGCCCTAGCACTGAGCCTTGGGCCCCCCCTGTGGAGAGGCAGTGGGAGGAAGATAATTGTACTTGCCACAAGACATTGTTGGAACACACAGAGAGGTAGGATTCGAACCACAGGAATGCTTTACCCTAGATGCCTACTGCTGAGAGTGGAGATAGCAGGATCCTGAGATTGAATGTGTCAAAGGCAGCTGATAGGTCAAGCAGGATAAGAACCGAGGACTGGACTGTAGCTTTAGCTGACCTTAGGGCTTCTGTTACAGACAACAGAGCCGTTTCAGTAGAGTGGCCACTCTAAACCAGACTGATATGGATGTCATTCCATGATAGGGATTCTGAGACCTGTTTGAAGACCGCCTCTTCGATATCATTTCGTTTCATTTCCAGTGTTGGCTTGGTATTTCCATCCATCGTCAACCGCTTATCCTGCGTACAGGGTCGCGGGGCTTGGCATTTCATTACCACTTTAAAATGTCATAGTTTATCTAACAGTTAGTGACACTGACACTAGTGCTTAGGCATGAGTTCTTGTAGATACACATTTTGACATCACATGGAGTTTATTTTAGTCTTTTGTCACTTTTAGCACGCCATTTGTTTTCACTCTGTAATTCAGGAGTGGACCAGATGGTTGAGCGGTCATCCCCTTATCAGAAAGTCTGTGGTTCAATCCCCAGCTCCCCCAGTCTGCATGTAGAAGTTTCGTTGAGCAAGATACTGAATCCCAAATTGCTCCCAATGGCTGTTCCATCGTGTGTGAATGGTTTATTTCTCTTCTGATGAGCAGTTGGCACGTTAGCCTGGCAAATCAGTGTATGAATGTCTGTGAATGGGTGAATCTGTAGTGTAAAGTGCTTCGAACGGTAAATGTAAATGCTCTGTATAGCGCCTTTCTAGTCTTTTCGACCACTCAAAGTGCTTTTTACACTACATCTGCATTCACCATTCATACAAATTCATACACTGGTGGCAATTCGGGATTCAGTATCTTGCCCAAGGACACTTCGACATGCAGCCTGGAGGAGCCGGGGATTGGACCGTCGACCTTCTGATTAACAGGTAACCCGCTCTACCTCTTGAGCCACAGCCGCCGCAGTCTAGAAGACTCGAAAGGCTTTATATCAGTACAGACCATTTACCATTTACTTTATTGAACACCGATTACATTTCACTCAAAGTCAACAAGAGTTAGAGCAAAGGAGAAATCCAACACTTTTTTGGTGCTAAAAAAGAGTAAGTTTACTTTACAGTCTGGAGTAGTTGACCTCCCCGATTGCCTCTGTATAATTCACACTCTGGTTAAATGTACATGGAGAGTGCAGCTTTTTAATTGAATCTTGGGAAAGCAGAGACGGCCGTGTGTGTTAGCAGAAGTAGAACCGAGTATTTTATTTTCTGATGGTGAACGACAGGAAGTTTTCTAGAACAGTCTAACCTGCACGCAGAAATTCAGCCTCTGCCTCTCATCGTCTCTGTTTACTTCCTCTAACTCTCACTTCTATTCTCTCCTCCTCTCCTCCACCCTCGTACGGTTATTACTGCTCCTTCCCTGCAGCTTCACCTTCTCCTCTTATTTCTCCTCAAATATTTGCACCTTGTCTCTCTCCTCCTCTCCTTTCCCTCACTTTCCTGTCCTACCCTTCCTCCTCCTTTCCTTTAAAAAAAAAAATTAATCTGTACCTGCTCTCGTCTCCTCTCCACTTCCTGGGCTTGAATCACATCTTCCTCCCTCCTCCTCGTCAAAACCATTTTAATCTTTCTCCCCCCTAATCTCTCCCACTATTCTCGCCACCTTTTCATTTCCTGCTCTGCTCTCCTTCCTCTTCCCCCCTCTACCTCGATTTACTACATTGCTCTTCTTCTCATCCGCTTGCCTCCCTCCCCCCTTCAGCCTCCTGGTAATCCCTCTCTCCTCCTGCATCACAGGTGAACCTCCTTTAGGGAGCGGGGAGCAACGTGGTGAAAACGGTTCTCCTCCTCTTTTCTTTCTTGGCCCACATATCCCCCCTCCCCCCCACTAATGTGTTTTCTCTCTCCTCTGTTCCTCCCCTCCCTTCCCTCCCTCCATTAACCTCCATCTTCCCTCCCTCCCATCATAACTCACCTCCTCTCTGCTCTCCACTGTTTTCCTTGATTTCCCCGCCCTCGCATTTACCTCCTCATCCCTTGTCTCCCTTTCCTTACCTCCCTCTTTCCCTCCCTCCCTCCCTGTCCTGCAAAAATAATTTCCCACAATCCCTCCCTCGTTCCTCCATCCCTGTCTGCGCCCACAGAGCAGTGCGAGGATCAACATCTCAGAAGGCTCCTGTCCAGAGAGGATCATCACCATCACGGGTCAGACGGACTGTGTGTTCAGAGCCTTCACCATGATCACGTTCAAACTGGAGGAGGTAGATGCAGTGCACACTCACACTCTCCTCTGAGCTCCCAGCGGCGTTCCCGAGCTGCTCGGAGTGAAGTGCATAACCTTTACTTCCTCTACAACATGGCCGCTCCCTGGCAGCCTGCCATTTACTATACATCTAATGGGATTGTCTGACCTCACACAAGCACATACGCACACGTAGTCAGTGCTCCTCAGGGGGATTTGACATGAACACTTGGCTCTCTATCTGTCCTCCTTCTCTATTTCCTTCTTTCCTCTTTCCTTCCCTCTATAATCCCATTAAACGAAGGGTGAAACATATCTGACCTATTTCCTTCATGCAGCGACAGATCTTAGCACAGTGTAGTGTTGTGCGTTCTTCAGTTCCTCCAGGACTGTTTACACAAATTACATTCGCCGCAACTTTTCCGCTAACATGACCTCTCATCGCCGTTTCCTGCTAAACGTTGTCACACGTCAACAAACTCACTTCCTTGTTTGGAAGACTCAGCAAACATGTGTGATACCAACAGCAAAGGGCCGTGAAGACCTGGATCCAGATCTTCTTTACCAAAGCGGGGAAACTGTTCGGGGCTCCAGACTAACTTTTTTATACCTCCGTCATGGAACCGTCCTGAAAAACAATTTGAACCGTCCTGAAGTTAACGTAAAGCGGTCCAAATTCCAAATGTTGTTTCTTTACTTTATTATCCTCTATAGTTGTTAGTGAAATAATAAATGATTATAAACTGATAAAATAAATAATATTTATTTTGCTTGGTTCAAACAAGAAGATTTATAAACAAAACTGAATAGTTATCTGTTGGGGCACCTTTTTACCTCAATGATAAATTATTTAATTTCAATTCAGTTATTAACTCCTGGACTTTGTTTCAGCAGCTTTTCTGCTCATGTTCAAAACTTTGTGCACATACAGAATCTCACATGTTTTTTCTCTTATATGTCCAGAAGAAAATTGTAATATTGAAACTAACATCATTATTTAATGAGAATTTATAATATTTTTTAAAGTATAGCTGACCTCTACTCTGCTGTGCTCCCCTTCAGACTGTACTGAATGAGACCAGTGCACTGCACTTTATCAGAGGTAGAAACTGAAACCAACAGTGCCAATCAGGCAGACCTCTCAGCGCAAATCCTTACGTTAACTTCTGCAGCTCCGATAAAGAGCAGCTCACAGTCCCAAACAGAACCAGATTGTGCTTCAGGTTTTAGATGTTTATAATGCAAAACTCTACCAGCGAGTCTGCTGGCTGCGTCTCAGCGTGCACGGGTTTCTTTACGATCATGCCGTATGCCAAGGTGCATCAGCTGGGCGGAGATGATTCTTTCCGCTAGTCGAAATTATCACAATATAGATTTGTTTTTCACTGTGTGGGGGGACGAGATTGATGTGTGGCGCTTAACGCTAGCCTACACAGCGCGACTGAGAGGTCAGCAAGCCGTTTGTGACTGAGAGGACTGATGGAGCTGTACCGTGGGAACAGGTGAGCAGCCGGCCTCCTGTGTGAGTTCGGCGTGACTCTAGTAACAGCGTGAGAAAGACGGCCGCCGTTGTAGTCAGTGCACGGTCGGTTCAGTTTTTCATTTGCTGATCGTAGTGATCGTAAATAAACACACACAATCCCTTTCGTCCCAGAGGCGTCCTACAGAATATTTCTCTTCGTCCCAAACACATTTTCTATCATCGCCAGCACGATAGGACGCCGTTAGTCTCGAGCGCTGGTTGTGGTCCAACATAAAGGAATCATCTACTGACAAACATAGATTTAATTATCTGTTATGTTTTACGTGTGGAGCATGAAGGGACAACAACCTTTCATTTTGTTGCACAACCTTGTGCTGTATAATGTAGAAAATTACATTTTAAAGTTTGCAATATTATTTTAATATAGTCCCCTGAAGGCTTCCATACAAACACTGTCCATTTAACTAGATTTCTGTGCAGGAGTTTCTTACCTGTTGAAGCTGATTACAGATTGCTTTGCAACTCAAAATTAAACTTAAACTTATTACTGATATTAACAATATTACCGTACACATAATTACTAAATATATTTTGTGCGTTTAATGGCTGGGGATACTGAGTGTAAAGTGTTGGCCTGGTCATGTGCCAGGCTATAGCTAAAAAGCTCGCCCACGACCATCTAAAGTTTGGGACATGTTGCTGTGTGAGCTGGAAATGTTTTATCACAGCAGCACAATGTGAAACAAAATCATCCCAGTGCACTTTGTCAAGACGGTGCCGCCAATCCTGTTTCCTGTGTGTCTGCACACGAGCAGGATATACCGGGATGATCAACACAAGGAGCGTGTTTCTGTTAGCAGTATGCACCAGAGAGCTGCACTGGGATCCCGAAGGACCAAACACAAATCGCGCAGGAGCGGGCGGTTAAAAAAAATACTGCGGGTCCCGCAGTAGCGCTGATAAGATGGAAGCAACAAACAAAGTTAAAAGTGAGTGTATGCAGCTGCTTCTGAGAATGTACTGCACGGGCCTGACTCGAACCGGTGACCTCGGGTACGGGAGGCGAACACGCTGACGAGGAGGTTAAACTCCATGGGCCTCGCTGGCTTCCGTCACACAATACAAGACCAAAAGCAAGGAAAGTCTGAAATTTGGAAAAATAATGCAATGATTGATGTCGGTTTTTCTGAACGTTGAGCATAGCCCAAACATTTGTGTCCTTTTTTTACTCTGCATGTCACAATGTTTGCGGGAGCAGGCGGGAGTGGTCACAAAATCAGCAGGATCAGATTAGTGATGGTAATTACAGCTCTTCATTTCTCATGGCTCCAATTCTTTCTGAGAGCCGGCTCTTTCAACTCCCACTTCTGCTGGTCAGGAAGGACTTACGTTATTATTTTTTGCAAGAAATAAATATGCAAGATTTGTCATCTGCCATACCATGAAATATTCTATCATATCGATAGTTAAAAAGTCAAGAAAAACTACTGTTGAAACAAAACATTACCCTACTAATGAAATAGCATGCTTATACGACAAAATAATGGTAACCTTACAACATGCGTCATCTAACGGCCATTTCATATTTCCTGTTTACATTAATGGCCACCTAACGGTGACACATGACTGTCATTTGAGTCATTTTGCCTGCTGCATTTTACTCCAGTGAGGAAATAAATCCGTGCCAGAAACATCCAAGGAAGGTTAAAATCAAGGGCAACTGGATGGCGATGCCATAACCATTTGAAGTTTGAAGTTAAGTACTTCAGTAAAAGTACAGATTCTCCAGTTCAGGGAAAGTGTCGACATCCGGACTTTAAATTAATCTGTGTCACAGTAGCTCTTGTGAATGTGAAGTCCAGTATTTTTCTGATCCAGCATCAGACACACAGTGTCAGTTATTATTAGTATTATTAATATCATGATAACAGATCAGTGATGGGGAAATTAGATTTTAAAAGATGCCACTATTATAATTATTGAAATGAGCTTTGTGTGTATTTTCAGTATGATTTCCTTAAAGAGAATAAGCTCCATGTGGGCCGAACTTCCTCAGAGTGGTTTCTGGGGCGGAGGGGGATCTGGTTGTCATTTAACATGTCGTGTGTTGAGAAATTAAATCTGAGCAGCTGCTATTTAAATCTCAGTGATCCTAATGTAATAATGAAAACTGAGGAGTTAGAGAGGCAGGGAGTGGACAGAGATTTAGAGACTTGCTGAAAGGATTAAACAAATATATGAAATGTGGACAGAGTGAGAGAGATGGAGGGAAACAGAGAGAGGGAGAAGAAGGGTGTAAAGAGAAAATGAGAAGGACTGAAAGACCCGCAGAGACGAGGGAAGAGGAGCTGCTGTGTAGAGCTAATGAGATTGAAAAGAGATTAAAAGAAAGAAGAGTGTGATGAAGGGATTAAATAAAGACAGTAATCAGAGGGAGAGTGCAGTGTCAATCACAAGATCTACACAGGTCCAAGGTCCTGAATCCATCCAGCTGCAGGACAGACCTGTTCTGGTGTTCACCTCTGAGGAAGGCTGCTGGCAAAGCATTCAGCTAACATGCTTCCTCTCAGCCCTCACCTGCGTCTCGTCCTTTCAGACGTCTTGTCCTCACCTGTGCCTCGTCCTCACCTGTGTCTTGTCCTCTAAGCCGTCTCGTCCTCTCAGCCCTCACCTGTGTCGCGTCCTCTCAGCTGTCTTGTCCATACCTGCATCACGTCCTCACAGCTGTCTTGTCTTCACCTGTGTCTCGTCCACTGAGCCGTCTTGTCCTCACAGCTGTCTTGTCTTCACCTGTGTCTCGTCCTCTAAGCCACCTCGTCCTCTCAGCCCTAACCTGTGTCTCGTCCTCTTAGCTGTCTTGTCCTCACCTGCGTCTCGTCCTCACAGCTGTCTTGTCCTTATCTGTGTCTTGTCCTCACAGCCGTCTCGTCCTCTCAGCCTTCTTGTCCTCACCTGCTTCTCATCCTGACAGCCATCTCGTCCTCTAAGCCCTCACCTGTGTCTCGTCCTCTCAGCTGTCTTGTCCTTATCTGTGTCTCGTCCTCTCAGCCGTCTTGTCCTCACCTGCGTCTCGTCCTCTCAGCCGTCTTGTCCTCACAGCCGTCTTGTCCTCACCTGTGTCTCGTCCTCACAGCCATCTCGTCCTCTAAGCCCTCACCTGTGTCTCGTCCTCTCAGCTGTCTTGTCCTTATCTGTGTCTCGTCCTCTCAGCCGTCTTGTCCTCACCTGCGTCTCGTCCTCTCAGCCGTCTTGTCCTCACCTGCGTCTTGTCCTCACAGCCGTCTTGTCCTCCCCTGCGTCTCGTCCTCACAGCCGTCTTGTCCTCCCCTGCGTCTCGTCCTCACAGCCTTCTTGTCCTCACCTGCGTCTCGTCCTCACAGCCGTCTTGTCCTCACTTGCTTCTCGTCCTGACAGCCATCTCGTCCTCTCAGCCCTCACCTGCGTCTCGTCCTCTCAGCTGTCTTGTCCTTATCTGTGTCTCGTCCTCACAGCCGTCTCATCCTCTGAGCCCTCATCTCTGTCTCGTCCTCACCTGC